CTGGGAAGAAAGTTCTTGCTGTTTTCATTTTGAGTGCCTTATTTTGTTACGCTTCAAGCAAGCAAGCTCGTTCCATATGCTATTGTGAGGTTTTCTTGCTCTATCGGGCAGTGGAGGCGCCTCTGTTTTTTTTAGCATTTTTTTATTCATTTTTTGAAGCCTTGAATACGGCATACTCCAAGAGCAAATTTGCATGATTTCCTTTTTCTAGCTCAAAGCAGGCCAGTATGGAGAGGAAGCAGGTCAAGATATTATAGACGCACTTGGCTGAGATTCGCAATAAATATGGTCTAAGCAATTGTTCAAAAAGCTTTTGTAAGTGAGAGCCTTGAAAATTATGAGTGTAGTGGTGGGATATCGGATTGTTCAGCGATAAGCTAAAAGTTCTGATTGAAGCCACAGTGCATGGAACTATTGAGTAAGTTTCTCCTAAAATGGATCGAACTGGTTTTTTCAGTCACACAGGAAGAGCTGGGAATTCAAAAAAAAATTCGATAAAGGCGTGTTGTGAGAGACCAACATTTCAAATTGTATTTCCCCGTTTTCTAGCTCGTTTTGCGGATAGAATCTACCGAACCTTCTATTGATTTAGTATAACGGATTTTTCTCTACCCTACGGAGCTTTTTTTCTGAATGGATCGACCATGACCGATACTCACAAACTTCGCAAAACTAAACTGCTTCGATAGGTGCGTGTGGTGCTTTCATGAGGGCCTACCTCTTGGTGCCAGGCAGGGTGAAAATCGTGTCGAGGACGTGGTCACATCAGTACGACCCCCCTCAGATCGGGGTCTTGATACGACCCCTCTAACTTTGATTTGATGTGAATAAGCGAGTTCCATCAATGTACAGCAAAGCATTCAGTTGCAGCGCGGTTTATCCGTGGGTCAGATTTGCCGAAACCCCGCTCGAAACCGTCGAAATCTACACTCTCGATGAAAAGGTTCCATTCCCCCATTTCATAACCTTTGGAGCAGTATGTGGTAGGGTTAGATAGAGCTGGATTTGCTACTACCGGGCAATATTGAAATTGATCTAAAATCTTTACACTCGAAGAGATAGGGTCTCTCAAATTTTGTCGAGGAGCGTCGAGGAT